AGAGAGGTTTTCTCAATGAATCCCATTGAAAACCTCTTGCTGAGGTTTGAATCTAATTTAAGCAATAGCAGATTAATCAACCAAAACTAATGTGCGTTTTTGGAATTGGATGTATCAACAAAATGGCTTCCTTAAAAATGCGTAGAAGTAGCGACTCAAAATCAAAATTTGTTTGAGCTTACCAGTAACTTCCACACTATAGACCGACCCACAATTTTGATAAGACTTAATTCTTCGGAAGTCCAATATTGCTATACTGATTAGCATCCGTACCATACTTTGAACGTCGCTTTCCTGAGAGAAATGTCAGCGGTAGAATGTCCTTCCGATCTCTGTAGAGTCCCCAATAAAAATTGTCTCTCGTCCACAAACGTGTTTCAAAAGAGCAACGACCCTTTAATACAGTCAATGTAATAACTTCAAACTATTTAACTTCTAAAATTATGGATTCTTCGCGGCATTCCCGCAGTGTAAGGAAACCCGGCCCAACAGCTACAACGGTATCCACTGTAGGAAGGTGTCGGACTCAAAGCAAACTCTGAATTCAGGCACCCTGAATCCTGGACAAATTACCTTTTTCGGACCTTTCCTAATTTAATAGATGGATGCTTTAAGCTGGGATAAAAAATTTCAAGGAACTGCTCTTATAAGGCTATTGACTACCAGGAGACCGAATGGGGTAAGAACATAAAACTACAGCACGAAGAATACAGCAATGTGACAATTTCGGAAAAACGAACCCAAACAGAGTGGGACATACCTGTGATTGCTAACTAAATCAGCGTTTGATAACATGAAGGGTAAATAAAAGATTAGTTAGCCATAACTCTGCAAAAATCCCTGGGCCTTCAATTGATAGCTGATGTGTGATTAAAAAATGAACTTTTTGGAACAATTTTATGGATAACATTAGTGAGCATTTCTATTTCACTTTTATTGCAAATTCTACTTTTGTTTACCTTTGAAATTACTAAACTTCGAAGAAAACCGAAACTCAGCATTCGTTGAAATGCATATCGGTTTTAAAACTTCTTCAAGTCGTCAATACAGGCCACAGTGGTAAACAGTTGACTATAAAAACGAGAAGATAACAG